ACATGACGTGCAAGGACGCAAAGTCAAATTTGTGCACGAGCGAGTACTGGTCGAGCATGTCGTCGATGATGAACATCCAGGCCTGGAATGACGTGAGAGCCTCGATGCGGTCGCACGAGGCGTATGGGTACCAGCCGGCCAACTGAGATGAGAGCATGGCCTTAGTCAGGCGCATGCGAACAGTGTCGTTGACAGCATGTCTAAGTTAACATATCAGTCGAGTTCGTCTTGATTTCTCGCAAAGAATTTGAGTGCTTACGTCTCGATAATCTGAAGGATTTTGGAGTTGACGGCTTCTAAGTGCATGCTCTGGTCCTTGGGCCAGTCTGCCATCATTTTCCCGAGATCTGGGATGCGGACATTCTGCCCATGAAGCTGCCACAAGATCTGCTCCCGAGTGCGACCTTGGCTCTTCTGCGCTGGGGAGTTTCTCCCGGAGTTACTCCTCTCAGAGTGTCGAGATAGCGCAGGGTGGAGTGAGACCGGTGCGGGTGCGACTGAAGATGACATGATGATGTAGTGAACGGTTGTAAAGATGAGACTGAAGGGATGATGAGTTGCTGTTGATGTTGATGGATACCAGCTGTCAAGTAAGTATATTGCGTGCAGCAAACTTTCTCAAAGAGTATGTGGGAGCCAGTCACTCTATATACGGCGGGTATTCCTGGCTTCGCCTTACACAGTAACTATACGAGCGAATCGCGACAATGCGAGAACGGACTTACACGTTTCCATTCGCCTATATTTGCCTTCGACGATTTGCACCAGTTCGTCTCCTGCGGCGAATATATCCAATCCTGAACTGACTAGCATGCGCCGAACAATACGAAAAACGCTTCACCTGCCTCATTCAGGGACGGCCTTGGGTCTAAGACCGCTAGACCGGCGGCTTGCCGTCGGGAAACCTAGAATACATCTGTCACTTAATTCCGAATGCTTGGACGGGCTGCCTCGGGGAAGGGTGCATGTGAAGCAAGATGGAACTCTGCGAGCTAAAATCAGAAAATCTTCAATGTGACATGTACGCGGAGTCCGAAAAACGGCGCGTGAGGCTTCAATTGATCGGCATGGCAGTGGGGCCGTGGCGGGCTGAGAGCAAGCGTGGAGGTTGCAGATCCAGTCCATCGGCCAGACTGAACTAAAGAACTCAATACAATCTTTCCCACCGCCCCAGGCACACATGTTATTAAAGCACACCATCTCGATGGACACCACTTCAATGGCGCCACCACTTGGATGCTCACCATCTTCACGATATTAAGATTGAAGTTTTGAAGCCTATTTGGGTGATCAAGTCGTTCAATGTGAATGCCAAGGCGTAGGTCTGACGTATCTAGCCGATGCCAACCCCCCTTTAGCTCGTTTCACGCACCACTAAAGTTAGTAAGATGATGGCAAAGGTATTTGCGACGTTGGGCAAAGTTGCCAGCCAAGCAGCGTTAGGAACCAACTCCATGCGAAGGCTATTTGGAAATGAATGAGGCCAGCGTATTTTCGTTTGATGGCCCACGCCTTGCAATATCGCCGGCCGGATCTGATTAGCTCCCTCGCGAAAGACCCATATCAGACGCGACTTGATGTGAGACTGCTCAAAGGAATATGGCCGATGATACCAGTCGCAATTGGCCTAATCGCCTCATCTTGTGCGGGCAAGTTCATCCGCGGCCTTCCGTGGCCAGCCGACGGAAGACCAGCTCATAGGGATGGGTGTCCCAGGTGATCGGTTTTCCAAACACTAGACGGCTGCGCGGTTACTGCCGTGCGGTTGGCGAAGCCAATCAAAATAGCAGTAGCGGGCTAATGCTGGATGGTTCGCTCTATGGTCAAAACGCACTCGGAAACTTCGGATGTCTTTGTATTGTATGTATGGCGGCTCAGGGGCCAAAGCTACAAGGTTTAAGTTGAAAGGTTCCCCATCCTCGCTCTTGCAGTTTCAATGAGAAGTAAATTTCCCAGACGCGGACACTGCGTTGGAGGGTGTAGACTTTGATGCACACCATCTCCCTTACGCGAGCTGAAGAAGCGAATTGAAATGAAAAGAGACGAGATAAAAGGTATCACAAATTATAGCCCTCAGGTATTCCAAGAACATGCCAAGAACATGAGGGGTGCACTAGTTGACTTCAAAGTTGGGGGAACTCCGATACATTGACGCAATTAGTACATGCCAACTTAGACTCTCGCACCTTGCAACACAATACTCCATCGACTAGCCTGATGACTTGCATATGGCAACCACACAACTCCAACTACGGTATTACTGTTATTCTTTGTTGATGTCCGTAGAATAAACAGTGTGCGGAAACTCCACCCGCCCCGATTGGCATTTCGGAACGGAGTCTGGAGCATTTTGCTTCGGAGGAAGTAACGACAGCAAGACATGCCTAGCCTGGCAAAAGTTGATATTGACATGTCGTTTGTCCGAAGAAGCCGTTCATTTGGCTAAGTGACCATATATATACATATGGCTTGAGTACACCATGGGAGTTGGAGCTGTCACACCAAACCTACTGCTCATTCTAATAGTTACTGTTGCCAACGTCCTTCATTCTTCACACGACCGCAAGATTCATTGAGACCGCAGTCATGACAACCGCTCAGGTGCCTCCTAACCTTACCCAAGGTCACTTCTGGATGGGCTCGAAGAAGGGCGCTGCCAATGGCGGTGCCAACGGGTCTAGCCAAGATGTGGACACGCCGAAGTTTCTTCCCCCGAATATGACGCAGGCGTCATTTGACAAGTTCGCCAAGAAGGTCATTGATGTGGTCGGCGAGGACAACTTCCAAGTAATCACACCAGAGATGGATCTGGACGGCTACGAAGATGACGACTTTGGCCGCAATTGCCGGACACACGACTACTACCGCTCATTTGATGATGAACAGGAGCTGGTTGGATCTGCACTTTGCCATCCTCGAACTGTTCAAGATATCCAAGCGATTCTCGCAGCAGCCAATGAGCACAAGATGCCACTTTGGCCCATTAGCACTGGCAGGAACCTTGCTTACGGTGGATCTGCACCAAGAGTATGTCATTATGGTCATTTTGGTTTTGGATCATGATTTGCCGCGTTCATGACTTCACCCCAGTTGCGTAGCACACTTTCATGAATCTCAAGCTAACCTGATCTCATAGGTCCCTGGCTCACTTGTGATGGTTTTGAGCACGCACATGAACCGCATCCTTCACGTCGATACCACGGCATGCGTGTGCATCGTTGAGCCCGGTGTGACATTCATGCAGATGAGTGATTATCTGAAGGAGCACAATCTCATCGACAGGATCCGTGTCGACTCATCTGGACTTGGATGGGGCTCTATGATTGGTAATGCCCTAGACCGCGGCGGCGGAGCTTCTTTATATGGCGATCGCTGGGGAAAGCATAGCGGTATGGAAGTCGTTTTGCCCAATGGCGAAGTCGTTAGAATGGGCATGGGTGCTGTTCAGAGCCCCGAGGGTCGCAAGCAGGCCGCCGAAGGTGTTCACCCGGCCGATCAGGCGCTCAATGAGTGTTTCGCACTATTCCCGTACGGCTGGGGTCCAATGAACGATGGTATCTTCTCGCAGGGTAACAGTGGTATTGTTACGAAGATGGGCTTCTGGGTATGCCTCTCGAGCTCGCACGTTCGTGAGTTCTCGGTGATGCTAACACCACACAGTTGATGCCGGCGCCCCAAGGCATGACCCCCTTCTCCATCACCTTCGAGAAGGAATCAGACCTCAAGGCACTGGTTGATTGTATTCAGCCCCTCGACTTGGTAAGATTGTCTTGCATTTGCGGAATGGAACCATCTAACAACGCACCAGAACGGCACCTTGCAAAGCTCAGTCAGTCTGCGCAATCTTACTCTCGAAGCTGCACACTACGGCCCCCGTTCCAGCTACACCAATGCTTCTCACAAGGAGGTCATCCCGGAGGAGGACTTCGAGAAGATGGCTAAGAAGCTCAACACCGGTCGCTGGCGCTACATCGGTGCGGTCTTTGGCTCTGACAAGGTCCGCGAGGCACTCATTGAGGACATTAAGCGTGAGATGACCAAGGTCCCTGGTAGCAAGTGGGCTACCCTTGATGAGAACCCCGACGAGCAGAACCTTGTCCGTGTTCGTGCCACATATCTGCAGGGCATCTCGTCCATGGGTGAGTTTGCCTGGATGAAGCAGTGGCTACCAAACTGTTCCGTCATCATGGTGGCCGCTATCTCTAGATTGGAGGGCAGCGCCGTCTGGGACCAATATTCGCGGGCCAAGGAGTTGTTCGCCAAGGCTGGTATCGACTACATCAGCCATTACGTGGCTTACTTCCGTACTATGCGTAAGTCTTCCCTGATAGAATATTTCTGCAATGACCACTGACACGAATTCAGATAACGTCTGCATCATTCCCTACGATCGCAAAGACAAGGATATGCGAGGTCGCGCCCAGTGGCTGGCTCGTACATTGTTGAAGGAGTGGAAGGAGAACGGCTGGAGCGTGTTCCGAACTCACGTCGGACTCATGGACCAAGTGGCCGATACATACGACTTCAACAAAGGTGCGCTGTGGAAGATGCACGAGGAGATCCATGATAACCTCGACCCCAACGGCATTCTAGCCCCTGGAAGAGGTGGTGTTTGGCCCAAGTCCTACAACAAGGACGAGTGGATGATGGGCAAGAAGTACATCGGCTAGAAGAAGGTTTCAGCATCTGACTTAGGCGTAAAGCAGTTGCATTGACAAGGCTGCCATATGAGTTCTTTAATTGATGTGTGGCTTTCTATAATTGAAATTGTTTGGTCTACTCTGACATTTGACATGCTCAACACTTGCAGTTGTCACCAAAGTCTGGATATATTCTGGCACAGAGCTATATGCGAGACGTGATCCAGGTGACTTATTCTATCCGCTGATTCATCGTGGCATGGAAAGAATAGTTTGACAAAGACCGTAGTCGGCCACAGAGACTGTATGGCATCTAGCCTACATACATTCCTGCCGACATTGGGTGTGCGCGAGTCCAAATTAACGTCTTGCACGTTCAAAGAATGCCCTGATACCGGTAACGGTGACCCAGCCAATTACGACGACAGTCACGGCCAGCCGGATTTCCCTCGCGAGCCCAGCAGTGTTCGGGGAGAATTGAATGAGGTGGAGATGCTTGATAGCGCCGGAATGCGCCGACTGGAGTGCAAATTGCTCCATCTACAAACTGTCAATTATTCTGATCGATTCTGTAAATTTTCAGCAGGCCACATACCTTGGTGTTGGATGAGGTTGTTGATGAGTGAGCTGAATATGCTGGAGGTCGGGAGAGTGAGGGAGAACTTTTTGGTGGGGATGATGGATTACGTCAACGAATCATAGCGTGTCGCTTCCTACCGCTTGCGGCACCCCTAGGGAAAGCCCAACACAACCCAATCGGCCAGAATTGCGACCCACAACCAACCAATGATAGAGACGACGAGAACTTGGAAAAAACAACGTAAACAGAATAAAATGGATCCAATTAGAGAGAAAAACTGCTTATAACAAGCTTGGATCGCAATGTGCTATTCGAGGATGTAAGTACATGAATGCCGATCAACGATCACAAGTGACTTTATGCAAAGTGGATCGTTGTGCAAGACGGAGACCGGCGAAAGAATTCCATTGTTTACTGGGAATTGCGGTGTCGTTTCAGGACGAACAGACAATCAAACTCTGAATCTGATCTCTTCGTATCACTAATGGTTAGATGACTTTGAAGTCTCATGGCGAAAGCTCGTCAGGTAGCCTGTTAATGAAGGCCAATTAACGGGAATACTGATTGAAGCAAGTGTGGATTCTGAATGTAAGAATTGCTACCTCCTCTGTGGTGAATACGGCGGCGTGAGCTTCTCAATACAGCATGCATGCCCAGCACGCAATGCATCATGCAAGAGCGCAGGACGCCAAAGTTGGAAGGTGATTTCGTCTGTGCTCTGAATATCTTGGCAATATTTTAACCGCCTGACGATGCAACCTCGCAGGCCTGACTATGTCGTAGTAGTGCTGACGGGTGATGATCCTACTGCTACGATTACTGCTACGATAGTGAAATAGTTAGAGCCATTTCTTCACTCGCGGACTTCACTCGCGCACTGAACTGATTCGTATTGCACGTTCTTTACTTCAGGGATGACCTCTCATCCTGCGGTGCGAGGTTTGGATCAATACCGCTCGCTAGATACAGCTTTGCGGCACGCGAACGACCCCGGTCTCCCAAGACCAGAACCCGTATTTCTGGTGTGATCACACCCTAAACAAGGAAGGTTGGCCATATTGGTGACAGTGCAACCCTTCTTGCGCAATACAGGCTACTGCATACGAATACAGCGACTTTAAATGAGAGTATTGATAGCGAGCTCTCGGGCATGACTGTGCGGTACATAAGTACCATAATCTGCTCCTGGCTAGAATTTCACAGATTTGAATTGGAGCTGCTACGCCCGTCCCTAGAAATCTCTGCAAATTGTCACTTTGAAATGGTGATCGCACGCCAACTATGCGCTTGGCTGCTTGTTGGGCTCGTGGCCAGCCAACAGTCCCAAGATAACGCCGAACCGAACGCCGTCCGATTCGCCAAAAGCTACATTGTGGAATTCGCAGATGTATGTCACATTCAACACCAAGTTAATCCAGTATGATCCCTGACATAATAAAAGGGCAAGTCAAGTCGGCAGAGCTCACTTTCTTCAACCGATGGAGTTCGAATAGTGAAGCATTTTGACAGCGAGATCTTCACAGGAGCTAGTGTGGAAACCGCTGACCTAACTCTTGAAAGTCTCTTGGAGCTTCCAGACATTGTCAACGCCTGGCCAAATACTATTGTGAGCTTGGAACCACTGATACAGGAAGAAAACACCCTGCAAGCGGTGCCTGCGGTCGCCCATGTCGTCACTGGAGTCGACAAGGTGCATGAGAAGGGAATCTATGGCAACGGAGTAAAGATTGGAGTCGTGGACACAGGAATTTGGTACAATCACGATGCTGTAGGTTTGATGGTGTTCTGGGGCTTCTTTATAGTATACTAATGGATCTCGTGGTAGCTTGGCGGTGGCTTTGGAGAGGGCTTCAAGGTTGCTGGAGGGTACGACTTCGTTGGTGATCAGTGTAGGAGCCCCTCGCAACTGTTTAAACGAGACCAAAAAGCTAACAAGCTTGCACAGATTGGCCATTTGTTGGCTATGAGAAGGAACCCGACGAAGATCCTTTGGACCTGCTCGGACACGGCACTCATGTGGCCGGTATCATTGCTGGCAAGACAGAGGAGTGAGTTTCATCTTCAGTAAGGAGATTATTCTTCGCCAAATATCTCTAACACCACGATTAGCTTCGTTGGAGTAGCTCCCGACGCTACTCTTTACGCCTACAAGGTCATGTCTCGTCAGGTGAGTCACCAACTGATTTCGTTTCAACGCAATCGACTGAGTAGTATGCAGGGGTCCACCGATGCGGCCACTCTAATTGAATCGTTTCTAGCCGCATTCAACGACGGGGTAGGTTATAAGTCGCCAACTTATTAGTCGATCAGTTGAAAGCTGATTTTTAAAAAGATCGATATCATCACTTCAAGCATAGGGGGCTCAAGCGGCTGGGCTGAAGAAGCCTGGGCCGTAGTTGCATCTCGCCTGGTCGAACAAGGCATCGTCGTGACCATCTCAGCTGCAAACTCCGGATCCATAGGGCCCTTCTACGGTAGCAGCGGCTCGTCGGGAAAGAATGTCCTCGCAATTGCGTCGGCTGATGCCCCAGCCATCAACACCACTCGCGCGTCTTCATTCACTTCTTGGGGCTTGCTGAATGATCTCAGCGTTAAGCCCGACATCACAGCTCCCGGAGGCTCGATTTACAGCACGTACCTTGACAATGGCTGGACAGTCATGTCGGGGACGAGCATGAGTTGTCCATACGTTGCAGGCGTCGCTGCACTCTACATAAGTGCCTTCGGAGGCCGGGAAGTGCATGGGAAAGATTTTGCATTGAAACTAGGCAAGCAAATCATCGCCAGCGGAAATGTGCTCGCGTACCACGACGGGGCGTACACCGACCTCCCGGCACCCGTGCCTCAGGTAGGCAACGGTCTCGTTGATGCTTTCAAGCTACTTCACTCCAATACGACACTGGATTTCAGCCCCATCGCTTTGAACGACACAGTCAATTTCAGAGGAGAGCATACGATTACTGTCAGTAACCGGGGGTCTAATGATGTCACATATCATGTATCTCTTCAGGATGCCTATGGGGTTGAAACATTGCTGCTGGATACTGCCAACGGCGACAAGACAGTGCGACGCTTGTCAGATTTGGCGCCCGGAAAGCTCGAAGTCGACGTCAGCTTACCCGACGATTTCACGCTGAAGCCTGGAGAAGAAAAGGTCCTACCGTAAGTGAATCTAAATCCCGGAACCGACATGGGGCTTTCGTTAACAGAACGTAAAAAGATTGAACTTCAAGAACCCCGAGTCTCATGGATGGGATGCGTCTGTTTTACCCCTTTATAGTGGAAAAATATTGATCTCGGGAGACAACGGTGACGAGCTCTCCGTACCCTACGCAGGTAAGGCTATGTGGTAGTAGAAGTATGCAAGTATACTCACTGATCTGTCATTCTCAGGTGTTGGGGCCGACCTCAAGAAAGAGGTAAACCCTTTATTCCGGAACGGATTCCCATATGTTGTTTCCGGAGAACCGGCTCAGATTGGGAAAACAGCGTAAGGCTGCCATAACTAGAGAAAGCCTGATAAGAGGCTAAGAGCTGACACCTCTTTAGCTTCACTTTCAACCTGACACTCGGGGTTCAAGACTTCCCGAAGATCTTCCATAACATTATTTGGGGAACCCGCCAGCTTAGATGGGATGTAGGTTTGCAACTATCGACATGGTATCTGTATGGATGCTCACGCAGTCGCTAGATATTCGAGGACGGATGGACCGAAAGTGATTGGACATATCCGCTAGTCGTTGGCGAGAATGGGTACATAGGATCGGGCGCATATTGGGCAGGCTCCGGCCAAGCACCATTCTTTGACCCGAGCCGATGGGACCCCGACGACACACTATCGTATCCAAAGGTTGAACAGCCCCGGGGCAGCGGCAACTCCGAAAACTGGTGGTTTGGAAAGCTTGCGAATGGCAGTCAGATTGCATTGGGCAATTACACGTAAGTCACACTTGTCACCTCCTTGTTCTTTTGCAGAAGAGACTCACACGTCATTTTGGCAGACTTCGGTATGCTGCTCTCAAGCCATTTGGTGATCCCGGCCTGTCTGAGGATTGGGCTACTTTCACGACACCTTTGGGGGTCCTTGGACAGTATTGAAAGAGATAGGTATGCATGGATGTGTCAGGCACGCGCGCTGTTGATGAAGGGATGACTGCCAGTATATAGTTTTGAAGTGCTATGTGGTGCCCTACGTATGTTCTAAACTGATCAGCTACGCTTATCTCCATGTGAGAATTCGGCGACAAATGTGGTTTCAATGCCGCCCAAATTGTTCTTCCTTTCGCATTTGCAACAACGAGATGGGGTCAATTGCTTCAGCTGGCAATTCTAGGAGCTCAACCGCGTGTGAATGTGGTTCAACCTGAACCAGTGTCTCAGGCTCATGAATGACCTGGAGATCGTATCGAGTGTACTTTTGAGCAACCCTTTGCCAATCGTATATCATGCTGGGTTCCATGTGCAGATTCCAGGTTCCTTTCCAAATAAGAGAGGTTGAACCAGATTCTGCACAGTAAATGAATTTGCATGCTTCACTCTGAACACTGTTCCACAGCACCACAGTATGGAGACAAGGCATTGACAGAGCAGCTGCAGAAGCACTCTTCAAAGTCCTTGCTATTACATCTGGGTGATTAGTTTGTGTGAGTGTTCTTGTTGTGAGGCAAAGCAGACTCAAAAGTTCCCAAACCCACTCTCGCTGACATGACTGAAAGAAGTCTTTCGCGTGAATCAAGAATGCAACGGAGAGTTTCTCGAAGTCGAGGCTCCTCTTTGCAAAGATACAACCAAGAGTTGGCAACTCGGATCGCCACATGTCAGACATGAGAGGTTTCAACCTACCGTGCGCCTTCAAGATGCATTCGTCTGTGTTCTCAAAGATTGAGACGCTCTTGAGTGATCGCGGTAAATAATATTTGATGGTATCGAGATGTGAGTTGTCAAGAATGAGTACTCCATT